TCATCAATGACGCTGAAACCATCTCGGATGTCTGAATTCATCTCGATTTGCCAGCTGGAAACAACTGAATGTGATTGTGAACGTTACTGCTCAAAACGGATTTGCCATCTGTAGATGGATGTCTTTTGCACATGGGAGTTTATTAAGTACATTTGGACGAGGGAGTATTTATTAAGTCCATTAAGGGAGTGCATTAAGATGGATGACGAGGAGTTTTTTATTCAAATGGAATACAGTGGAATCGACTGTGCTCCCGAGGGAGATTAATATAAATGTGCAGCAATGGTACGGGACTTGTTCTGAGAGCTCAATGTAATAGCTGCAAAGATTGGTGAGGCTAATGCAGATTTGGAGAAAGTATCCTGTGTTTTTGAGAGGTTTGTGAGTGTTGCATTCAGAAAATACTTCATTATTTGATATTAATATTAGTTCCACACACTTATCTCTAATCGCTCCATTATTATTTCCGCGATCAGTGTGTACTCGAAGGTTCATTTTCAGCTACCTGTTAAGTACACATCTCAAACTGTCTGTGAGAGGCTAGAAGGTTAACATTTACTATCACCATCTTATCATACCGGGTACCCATTTACTGCCCAAGGAGACACAACATGTGCTATATTTGCTTCGCTGTGTGGCACGCCTAAAACCCCGGAAACTCTCACAGACGGTCACCCATCAAGCGTCTCTCCGCGACCAATGTTGGATAATTTTGCCTGATTTGTGACCTGCACGCTGTGCACAGGTCCACGTGCCACTCGCCGCCTCCGTGGTCTTGTGGTAGAGCGTCCGCCATGAGAGCGGAAGGTCCGGGGTTCGATCCCCGGCCGCGTCATACCAAAAGACGTTAAAAGATGGTACTTGTTGTTACCCTGTCTGGCGCTCGACATTAAGGGGCTAAAACAAGGACTGGTCGGCTCGGAGTCAGTATACTGTGTCTGAGTGGGGTATTCATGTTAAACTGCGGCATGGTATCTAAGTGAGCTAGCACTATAAATCGGCATCAGTCCGGACTAGTACAAGCAGCCACACACACACACGTGCATGCAAGTCGCTATATAAATGCAATAATCTTGGACGCGACGTTAAACCCAATTTCACCTCACCTCACCTCATCTCACCTCACCTCACCTCACCTCACCTCACCTCACCACGTGCCACTCCCTATTCTGAAGAAGGAAAGATTTTGTATAAGGTTGAAACACGTTATTGTGATTCCAACCAGATATACCAGTATGTAAAGATTAAAAATTTACATTTTTAATGCAGCGATTACATCGTATCTTATATTTGTATATGACTGATTATAAGACTGTGTAATAGATCTGAATCAAGTTAACAGTTTTGGGGGGCTTGGATGTACAACAAAAGTTATTAGATACATGCACAGCTGTATAATTATGATATAGGATTCTATTAGTGGAATTACACTACTTTGTCTAAGAGCTTGCCGCAACCTTGTCGTAGTACTGTTGTGACAGTAACACAGTCGTGATATACATATATCAAGTTAATGTCTCAATCAATACTTCACGTTAATGGTGTTCGTGATAATGTTCACTGATGCCATTGCAGAGGAGTAGCAGTGGTGTGGTCCTTGCTCCATCCATGCAGCAATCCCAAGAGTGACGCCCGTATTGTATACCTGCTGTTGCTTGCCACGGAAGGAAATCCTTTTGATTGAGTTCGGACAACAATAGCTCAAGAAAGAACACGAATACAGTCATGCTTTATGTCCATTGTGGAAACAAGGACCAATCAAGTTGATCTCAAAGCTTGTGCGAAGTACTACTCCAGCAGAATCGAGTATCCTCAGAAATAGCGGCTGAAAGCAGTCAATTCAACCCCAGTTTCATATATATATAGATGCCAAGATAAATGAATATCTTCACCTAATCTATCCACAAGACGTGTCAGCCTCTGTATCAAGGTGTACGAAAAGAGGAATGAGGTCCATGTTATGGCGCCTTCTTTTGTCAATTGCTCACTCACAAGGTACTAATTTTGTATTCAATTGTGTTTACAGCTTAGCTTTTCAATCAAGGTTTAACCATCAAAAGGCTTTTTTAAGTCATTCCAGAAATTCAAGTCGCTTGTTAATATGATGCGCTAGCTGGTGCTTCCGGCGGTCGAGTAGGATATGTTTACGGCATAGACCTTTCGTGTTTGCAATGTAGAGCTAGTTTACCCGCAGATTTAACCGCACTGCATTTAATCTGGAACCGAACGCACAGCATATTGATAGCGGCCCAAATACCTAGATCTATCAGTATACGAGGGCTGGTCAAAACGTTTTAAGCCTAACAAACAAAACCAACAATTGTGAAAGTGTTTTTAATTTTATTTTTCAACATAATCGTCCTGCTTTTCAAAACACTGCTCATATCGATAGTGAAGTTTTTCAATTCAAGTCAACCCATTCAGGGCAGCTTTGAGATCACCGTTGTCGTCATAGCGCTTTCCAAGAAGGTGTTCTTTCAGTTTAGGAAACAGGTGGAAATCACTTGATGCCAGGTCTGGCGAGAATTGTGGGTGAGGAACCCACATTGTCGCACAGCAGCCTTTGCAAGTCGAGGGGTGTGAGAAGAGGCATTGTCATGAAAAATGTAGAACTCCGGCAGTCAGCATTCCTTGCCGCTTTTCTTTGATAGCATCTCTCAGGCGATAAAGCAAATCAGCATAGTAATCCGGTAATCGTCTTTTGACTTTTTGATTTATCAACAAGGATCACACCCTTTGCAATCCAAAAATACAGGGGTCAAAACTTGAAGACCGGAGAAGTGGAATTGTGCCATTCCATTGATTGACGTTTTGACTCGGGATTATAGTCGTAGACCGATGTTTCATCACCCGTTTCTTATCTCTTTTTGAAATCCTCCTAAATTAGCACTAAATTGTCTCTGGCAAAATCAGTTCTTTTTTCCTTAAGATCAGAATTAGAAACTTTGGCATCCAACGAGCAGATATCTTTTTCATCTGTAAATGTTCATGAATATTAATTTCAATGGATCCCTGGCTTAGACCTGTGGTTTCCTCAGGTTCAGCAATGGTAATACGTCTATCTGACAGTATAAGTTTTTCTGTCTCTTTGATTGAATATCTATTGATTGAAGTTGAGGTACATCCAGACCTTGGGTTATCATCAAGGCTTGTTCTCCTAGCCTTAAACATTTAGCTGTGGAATAGCCAGGGAACTTATCCCCATACACTTGTGACTTGCGGTCATGAATTTCTAGGGAATACTTTTGTCTAAAGTAAAATAACTTGATGACTGCACGGTACTCGTTCTTTTCCATTTCTGTATCCATTTGGACCACTATCTGGCTGTCACAAATATACAAACTTCCTCAGCGGACCAAATACACTTGCAATGAACTACTCAAACTACTACCTTGAACTACACACGTGCGACTTAGTGTATCAGATATAGTATATTACTTCCTGTTTTCACCTCGTGGGTAATAATGCAAATGTCTCTTAAATTAAAAAAACTGTGTTAGAATTATATCTATATCAACCCATGCTTGCTGTAAGAGGCGACTATGCTTGTCGGAAGAGGTGACTAACGGGATTTGGTTGTCAAGCTCTTTGACTTGGATGATGCATGTCATCGTATCCCAGTTGCAAAGGTCGTTGCTCATGATGTCATGATGATGGTCCAGCCTCGATTATGTACAGACCGCCGTCATTTTGCTGGAATACTGCTGAGTGCGGCGTTAAAGAACAAAATACAAGTATAATAAAAAGGTCAAATGTTCATGAGTTCAATGGCTTTTCGATGGTGATATTTTTGATATGATCATCCTAGATGTGGTTTGGACAGAACGTTTCGCCACTGTTTTCAGCCTAGGAACGTTTTGATAACGTTTGTAAGTTTTTGGTCAAATCAATTCATTTTAGTGTATAGTTTCATTTGACCGGCAGTTTATTATGAAAATAATGTATCTGACAGTGAGTGTGGTCCCAATACCCACTGCTGGAGACTCCCAAGTGTAGGCTTTACCCATTGCAAACACCAACACCAACCATGTGACAACACCACTTCCCCAATACCTAGCAAATCTGTCAATATGAAAAGTTTGAAAATGCATTTTACAATTCATAAAATATATTCAGTGGATTGACAAACATGCAACTGCAAACTATTCCACTATTTATCAGTCTGAACATTTTGCAGAGATTTCTTGTGGATATGGAAAGGGTTTTGTCGCTTTTATTGAGAACACCTGGTATCATCACTATTTGATCGTGGTTAATAAACACATTCATTCATTCATTCATTCATTCATTCATTCATTCATTCATTCATTCATATTCGTAATGGTACAATGGCTTCTGTGTTAAGCTACCGTAAGGGCAGGTCATAGTTACCCTCCTCGCTAATACATGGTGTGGGTTTCGAATCCCGGTTCGCCCCGATAAAGTTCCCAAATTTATCAGCACCATACCGTGGGTTTCACCAAACTGGTAAACGTCTGAGGCCCGCATCATTTCTGTCTTTCCTCTCACATTAAGCTGTAACTGACATACTGTTAAAAACGGGATTAAACCCATATCACTCACTCACTCACTGTGGTTTATAAACACATGCTTAGAATATAGTCGTTATCGTACGATTGACTCTGCCTATAGTTACCGGGAGGGAATGACATGTTACCGTTGTTTTCAGTTATTGACCGCTATTGTTCGCCCGAAGGAATCTGTTTCGGCAGATAATATAGACTGATTAACCTCTGGCGTTGACGTTATATATTATGGTTATAGAAAAGGGTTTTATCGCTTTATTTGTACTTTCCTTTGTAAGTCTTCCTGAATATAGAGTATTGCCTGTTCTCCTATACTAAAGACACCAGCTAACACCCACTGTACGTAAGTACGTACGTACATGAGAGATTCAGTACCTTTTTCATATATGTATGACTATCAGGGCGGGCACCTGCAGCTGGCGTCGACGCTGTTCGTCATTGAAGCCTTTCCATAACGGCGTCCAATGCGGTGGAACTGGCGAATCGATAGCAGCGCCTCCAACCTCGTTAGGAGCGTATGTATACCCAGGCAGGTGCCGGACTCGGTCAGGATTCCTCATGCTCAGATGAAAGTTGTAGGCAGCAGTGAACAAGCATGGACTAATGCACAGTCAGAACTAACTCATTTCGCTGGAAACACTACACCGATAAGACTCGTTTGTGGCAATCCTCAGATTTCAAGATTACATTTCTGTGCGTTTTAATATGTTCTATGTCGTCTATTCTGGGATGTCGAAACTTTTACATGACCACTGTTGAGTGAGAAACTTACCGCCCCGTGCTCCTGACAACAACATAAATGTGTCATGTTTACATTTTGTAGCATTTGGATTTGTACACACGCAGGAGCCCACATGCCGCAGTGAGTAAAATGTCCTGTAACCGGAGCGCAAACCAGACTCGAGATGACTGGACATACATCAACATGGTACTTGACACGTGGTTTGAGAAACAATCGCAGGCAACCTTAGAATGGGGTTATCTGCCAGATCTACCACACTAATTGTACTGTCAGGTGAGTGTTTTTGACATGTATGCTACACATCCTACATTTGGTTCAAGACTAAACTGCTTTTACTTGATGGCATTTGCCAGTTCTTTTATTACTTATATTATCACTAGATTGGAATATATCTGCAAAATTAGCTGACCGTTTTGAGACAGAAATTGCTGATTTTTTATTCCACTGACAATATTCTAAATTAAACATTTTATATAAAAGGCATCCGTTCGACAAAAACTGTTTCATACATGTATTTATGTGTTGTTCGGACAAACCCAAGAAAGGTCTAGCTATTGGTATTTCAAACAATGCGCATTGTTCTACTAATCAATTGTTATTAACAATACATAGAGACATATTATCTATAAAACATTTTACTAAAAGCACTATCTCCGTTATGCTATTTTCGGATATTAACGAAGCCAAACCATCAACATCATACGTACAATTGAATGAATGTTTACACACAATAGATCGTATTTCCTTTTAGAATCGGTCGATTTATTACCGTCCCTAAGGTTGACATCAAGTTCGTGTATGCATATACAATAAATTCGTAGATTTCTAATTGTATAAGGGAGGTTGGGTAGCTTAGTGGTTAAAGCAATTCCCGTCCCGCCGAGGGTCCGGGTTTAATTCCCCACAGGGCTACAATGTGCGAAGCCCATTTCTGGTGTCCACCGCCGTGATATTGTGATATTACCCAATAGTGCCCCCTCGTTACTTTAGTAGGAATACAGGTATCAACACCGTCTGCAGTGTAATACCTAACTGCAATGTTCTAATGTGTAGATCCAACACACTACCCGTGAATATACGCGATAGAAGAGTCTTTAGCAACCCATGCTTGTCCTAAGAGGCGATTATGCTTGTGGTAAGAGGCGACTAACGGGATCGGGTGGTCAGGCTCGGTGACTTGGTTTAAGCATGTCATCGTATCCCAATTGCGTACTCATGATGTCATAATGATGGTCCAGACTCAATTATTTACAGACCGCCATAGTTTTGCTGGAATGTTGCTGAGTGCGGCGTTAAACAACAAACAAACAAAAACATGCATGTATAGATGTGTATTACCTTACTAATATATTTCGATGGCAAGGTATAAAGATCAACATCGCCTACATTGTAATACCTAAGTAGTATTTCCCGATGTGTAGATATTATCAAAACATTATCGTTGACAGTGTAATACCTGAGTTATATATCCCGATGTGGTGATAAACCAAATCAGGTAACATTTATTCCAGACACGCAAAGTAAATATATTCTAACTTGATGTGCTTCGATCACTTTGGTGAATGAATACACATTAGATTTGTCTACTGTATAAGTGCCAGAAAATGGTATTTGTATCGTTTGATGAAGTCTCTCCTCTAGGAGGAACTTGGTCTTGCAGGCATTAGATGTATAAGATGCCAATATGGTTCCTGGTGGAGCCGCCGACACCAATATTTGCAGTAATTATTAGTAAGAGGAGAATAGTAATAAATATTCATATTATCTATATTACTCTATGAACTCTTTATATCAACCGTTCCCCCTTTAATTATATTTATATTGTTTACGTAAATATATTTCAATTGTCACCAGGTTACTAGATTCATAAAGGCATGAAGGAACTGAACAGATGGAATGTGTGACTGAGTGAGTAATTTGGGTTTAGCGCCGCTTTTAACAGTATTTCAGTTATATCACGGCGTGTCAGCTTCATGTGGAAGGAAAGCCCCAAGTGATGCAGGTCTTTGACGTTTACCAGTTCGGTGAAACCCACGAACACGGTTACAGTTCTGACAAAGCTAGAAACATAATCGGGGCGAACCGGGATTCGAACCCACAATCATAGGCTTCTGGTGTGCCTATGGGAAGCAACTCTGCACAGCGAATCGCGACTGGGCCACTCGTTCCCTCTGAAGGAATTGAGAATATAAGTACATGAAAACAAACGCTCAGTTGCTTTTCTACAGCAGGTTATGAACGAATGGTTCATTTGATTTTGTGTCTGGGATTCTATGGCCAAATCCTTCGTATTCACTAAATTGATTGAAATCTTCCCATTAAACATGCTTGCTTCTGGATTCACTTTGAACACACCACCTACGTGTACCCTGTTCGTAAAGGTCGAATCGATGTAAGCGTGGAGGGGGAATCTTGAGTACAAGGGCTTCGTGCCGGGCACGCGTTCGTGTCATTTCTGTATGATGTAAACGTTCATTGCATCTTGTTAAGATTCCTAAAACGTGTCTGTGTAAATGTTTATAAAGATTATTTAATGGAATATCTCGGTCATTCTGCCATGAACAAGGGATATATTTCTATGGATATACAACGTCCATATTACAATGACTGCGACGTTTCGATAGAGATACTAACACCGTTATCAAGCTCACCCTTATCAAGCACACCCTTATCAAACTATCCACACCGAAACATGGCAGTCATTGTAATGGAGAAGTTGTATATCCATAGAAATATCTCGCTTGTTCATCATACCAACTTCTAAATGCCACTTAAAAAGTCCCCCTGTCATGTAAGAAAACACGTGAAAATATCTATAAAACAATAATTACACTGCACGTGTGTCAGGACGTGACCCCCTCTACACACTTTGTCTTGTGTCGTGACAGCCGATAGTGGCAATTGATAATATGCTCATACAAAATAATTTCTGTCCTTGTGATTACGTTTCTATTAAACAGATACATCTTGCACGGATGTAGCCAAGCAATGGCGAGCGGCTTTACATATGTCTTCACAGGTTTCAATAACGTTCTCAACTCAAAGACTTCATCACCCGTACCGCAAGCTCCTGAAGTCAGCTGATTATAAATATGAAAGTCCTTTGATATAACGGAACTCTATTTCACTCTGTACTTTCAAGTTACCTACATCCCTGATGAACTGCAACCTCCGATTTCATCATTTCAATTACCGGTGGTGATAATGAAATATTGATGGAATTGAGCCGCTCTGTTACTCGTATTAACAAAAACATTACCAAGATGGACCATTGGGAATGTCTTTGGCAGATTACTTTAATCAGTTGGAAATCGTTTAACTTTGATTGTAGCACAGTTTTATAACACCGGTTAATGTCTATATTTATCACACAGTTGCGTGATGGAAGCTTTAACCACTGCATTGTTCCCTTTTATCAGGAGAGAATGGATTAAACGGTTGGTGCGGTTTGGCAAGATTGTATTAAGACCATAACCGCATCGCGTTAAAGGTACATTTAACGGATCAAATCGAATTATCGGATCGTTTGCAACTGAAAAGCACCCAAAGCAGCTCTGCATTATCTTTCGTGGGTTGTCTAAAGCTGCTAAACAAAACATGTTGTCGATAATAACTAACAGTAAGAGTTTAAAGAAACAACTTGAATTTAGAATCCTATTCATGAAGGAGAAATACTGGAAAGGTTACGTGTCTCCTTAAGGTCCTTGTATATACATGTCTGGAATACAAGACCAAATATAATGTAATTAAATAGTTTATTAATATAATGTTTTCTTTTTAGCGTTCTTAATGAACTAACGTTTATGTTCTTTTTATAGAATGGCAACCATAACCATTGGTACTTGAAATTTAATGTTGAACACGACGTAAGTAATTTAGAATAGTGTTCAACTCTCCTGGTTTGATAACGAAATATCTATTTTAGTTTACTTACTGTATATGAAGCATACCCTGACGTTTTCCCAAAACATCGGACGCTTCTTTAATGTTTCTAAACCTTGGCCTTTACAATTACAAAAAGGTAAAAGCGGAAATGTCGGGTCCATGTAACTTGAGTTTTTTTAACAACACGTGTGAGAGGATGAATTATGATGATTTTGTTGCTGCAGTATTTTAGCAGACAAATAGTTAATATGTAACAGTATTAAAAATTCTGTGAACTGGCGGTCTGTGTGTATCGTGCACTGTAATTCCATATACAATACTACAACGCAACGTAAACCAAGACAGCTAACAATAAAATACAAACAACAATCATGACATGCATGTGTCAAAATAAAGCCAATATCATCTTAGGTTTACCGAGAAAACAGTATGTGACATGCTGGACTTCCTTTGATAACATCTATGTACAATTTGGGGGAAAGGCATGGAGACAAGACGTAGGCCTCCCAATGGCCACCAACTGTGCTCCCCTACTTGCAGAATTGTTTCTATGCATATGAGTATGAGTCGGAATTTCTGCTCGGAATGGCAAAGTCAAAACAAGGTAATTTGGCAAATATCGATGATCTGATATCGTTTAATAACCATAAAATTCCCTTACACTGATTTACCCACCTGAACTAGATATAAAGGAGCCTGGTGAGAGCGCATCATCTGGTTTCGTGCTTAGATCTGTGCATAAAGATTCAGAGTGACAAAACACTGCTCTTTTCACCATGACTTCAACTTTTAAAAAGTCAACTTTCCCTTAATGTCGATCAATGTTCCTGCAGCTACAGCCCACAGTGTCTAAATTTCACAACTTTTCAGGTACAATCGAGAATGCTCTTTCTGCCATGAGTTCAAAGTAGCGTCATAAGACTCTTGCCGAGCTGTTGTTTAGTCAAGGTTACATCATTCAAGGCCTCAGTAAAGCTTTCAGAAAGTATATGTGGATGACATTTCCAAATTTGGGGCGGTCGGGTAGCCTAGTGGTTAAAGCGTTCGCTCGTCACGCCGAAGACCCGGGTTCGATTCCCGACATGGGTACAATGTGTGAAGCCCATTTCTGGTGTCCCCCGCCGTGATATTGCTGGAATATTGCTCAAAGCGGCGTTAAACCAAACTCACTCACTCATTTCCAAATTTGACGCATCAGTGACAAGAATGATGTAGTTCCCTATTTTGACGTGTACCATATGTTCCCATGCTTTCTCGAGGGAACAAATAACTAGCATTTGCATGTTTTTGTAACGGTTGCCACCGGTGGGTCAGGATGCCCTCACCTCTTCGCAAAAAGAAGAGCTTTGACCTGGAGTTTGTTGTAATTAAGAATGGCCTCTATGTAT